TAAATGTGACCAGTCTAAGAGAGTATTGTTGTCAGATGAACAAAGTTGTTCAAGATAGAGGATGTTTTTGTGTCAGAATGACGCTAATTCTAAAAAGGTTATAACTGACGAAATATAAATATTTTTACCAGTTGCAGAAAATAGTGGCGTAAATGCTGCCAAGCTTTTTAATTACAAATCTGTATTACTCAAATAAATACTGATACAATGAGCCTTCCAATACCTGGCTAAACGGTAATACAAAAACTATACTTTTAGAATATTGTTATTTTCTCTAAATATAGTTTCTGTATCTAATAGTATATTATTATTTAAATAAAGGTGAATTGCTATTTCTACAGCAGTATGAATTAATTTTAATACCCTACAAGTTGTATGGTAATCTACGTTTTGCTCTAACTTGTCAAGAAATTGAATACTATGCTTTGTCACTATACTGTAAATACTATATCCACTAAATGCTACAATCAAAGCATTACATATAGCTTTTGAAGTATGCCATTGTTCAAAAATAAATCTACAAATTACATTGTTATTTTTATAATTTTTTGTTCTTGCAAAGATAGCTGCATCACATGCTAAATCAACAACGTTTTGTTTAAGATCTTCCAAATACATATTAATTGATTTAAACATGGCATCATTGCTATTAGGTGCTAGTCCAGGCTCTAATACAACAATGTTTGGTAGATTTACTTGATATTCTGACTCGACAGTAGTAAGTATTTCGGCATTAATTTCTTCAATTCCAAAACTTTTGTTGCTGTATCTATTTATTAATTGCTTTATTATTTTATTAAAATTTTTATCCCATTCAGATGTAAATTCTGATTGACCAAATAAATTTTCTTGAAAATTTAGATTTTTTTGAGCAAGAGATGATAGGTTGAATAGAAGTTCGAATTGAAACACCATTCTTAGTGTTGCATACGCAAATTGCCACATAACATTATATATATTTCTATACTTGAAAACAATATCCTTAAAGTTAATATTATCAATTACGGTGACATTCTATATATTTGGGCCTTTAAGTAATCTTGTTAAAGGATTGAACTTATTTATATATTCTTTTTCTAGTCTTGATTCATGTCTCCGAATATGAGATATAATATATACAGCATATAATATAGCTTGTAGAGAAGATATTAATTTAAACTTTTTATATAAAGAAACCATAGTATAGATAAGTCATATTTTTCATAAACAGAATAATATTGTCAAAATAATTAATGCAAAAAATGTTGTAACCTTTTTTATAGTATCCGTGTTAAATTCGGGTTTATTTTTTCCATGTTGTTTATGTTTTCTTTTTTTTATTGTATACTTTTGTTTTTCAATAGATTCAATTAATCTGTTAAAAAAGCTAGTAAGAATCAAAGGAAAACTATTATAATATTTGTCTAATATAGATGGTTTTTTTAATTTATTGCGATTTTTTTCAATATCTTCATGTAAATTCCATATTGTATTTCCTAATATTTCTCCAAATTGATAGCATTCTTTTACTTTTACAAAATTTTTATTTGTAGGTGAGTAATTATCGAACTTTTTAATTTTCATAGTAATTTTTACAAGCAGTGGGCTAGGTAAGCAAGGTTCTGTATTTATCAAGGATGACGAAAGTCGTCCTGGGGTTTCTAGCAATTTTACAATATATTGTAATACTTCTGTTACAGAGTAAAGCCTTCTTAATTTACTCTATAATGATGACACGGCACAGGGAATCCTTTCATAGGTATATGCGGTGTCCAAGAGGTAAGTATAGCTTCTTTTCTTTTAAGAAACTATCTCTTAAATTGTTTTGCAGCCAAATTTGCCTGCAAAATTTTTTAAAATATAAATTTTTTTAATAAAATTTTAA